TGATATCTAACCAAAATTTCTCTGGAACCGATTTCAGTTACGTAACTGCTATTTGAATTTCTTCAGTTCCAGTTCTGGAACCTGTTCCAAAGCTTTATCAAACAAATCCCTTCATATGCCTCCTAATACCCCTAGTCCAGAATATCCCTCATAATCCCTCTAAATCTCTCAATATAAACTTAATCCTCTGATATTCCCCATAATCCCTTAAAATCCATTTTTATCCCTCTAATCCATCAATGTCAAATAAAAGTTCCATAATATTTCCTTTAATCCGTCCAAATCTACCCATATTTAATAATTAATCTTACTCTCATTGAACTATTGGGACTATTTTGTAATTCATTGCTTAAAAAGTTTTGGTTTTTCTTGAAAAATCGAAAAATATAGATTCTCTTTCGATATTTTGCGGCTTTATCGACCAAACCCTCCGACTTATCTCTAGTTGCAATGGATATAATAAATGGGATTCTATCTCAAAAGAGGGTTGAAAAATAGAGCCCCACCCTCAATTAGAGCCCCACCCTTTAATACAGCCCCACCTTGGAGGATAGTTGAAAATTAGAGCCCCATGGGGCTCTAATATAGGAAATACGGTATATTACTGGATTTGCATATTTTTTAAGCATCGGGTGAAATTTTTGAGACTTTTAGAAGATTAGAGCAAGATTCTTTGAAGTTGATTGAAAATTGAATGCTCGAGCATTCAACTTTTCTCATTTAAATTTTTCATTCAATTTCTTTATCATTAATTAAATATATCAAACATGAAAAATTAAGAATCCATAATTGTTTATCTTTTAGACAAAAAATTCGTTTTAATTATAATAAAATTTTTAATAAAAATATTATCAGTCACACATCTATGTATTTTTTTATTTTTTAAAATCATCATTAGCCTCATTTCTTTAATTTTTCCATTCATTTTTAACGTCTGCCCCATCCCATGCCCCATGGCCGATACATGCCCATTCCACCACCCCACGGCCGGTACATATTATACATTCCTCCACCCCATGGGCGATACATGCCCATACCGCCACCCCACGGGCCCATGCCGCCCCAACGTTTCAGACGAGCACTGAAAAATAAAATTTTAAATTATTAGAAAATATAAGAGAAAATTGAGTAAAAATCCTTATCTTGAAAAATCAAACTATTTTTGGATACGGTAGGACCTCTATCGAATACAGTCGGCCCTCACCATAATACTTCTATTTAAGGCACGATAATTAATTTTTAAAAAGCTATTGAAGTGAGGAACAGCTGTCTACTAATACCTTCTATTTAATATACTCCTCATTATAAGGGATGAATTTTTCAGCCCCAAGAGAGTTACACAATAATAATTAGGCTAATTGTGTTATTTTTAGAATTAAAATAAAATTTAATATTAAAATATAAAAATTACTCCTTTTCTTCTTCCGCCATGTCCATTTGTGCATTTATTATTGTAACAATTACAATTGTAAATAATAATGACAAAAATAGTTTATTCATTTTATTTAAGACTTATGTATTAAATTAATTCTGAAAATTATTTTTAAATCAGAATTAAAATCATAAATTTTTATTTAAACAAGGATAAAAATCAGAAATAAAAAAATCAGAAGATAAGAATTAAATCAGAATTGAATTAAATCAGAATTTAATTAAATAGAATTTAATTAATCAGAATTTAATTAATCAGAATTTAGTTAAACAAGAATTTAATTAAATCATAATTTAATTAATCAAAATTTAATTAAACCAGAATTTAATTAAATCAGAATTTAATTAAACAAGAATTTAATTAAACCAGAATTTAATCAAATCAGAATTTAGTTAAACAAGAATTTAATTAAACAAGAATTTAATTAAACCAGAATTTAATTAAATCAGAATTGAATTAAATCAGAATTTAATTAAATAGAATTTAATTAATCAGAATTTAATTAATCAGAATTTAGTTAAACAAGAATTTAATTAAATCATAATTTAATTAATCAAAATTTAATTAAACCAGAATTTAATTAAATCAGAATTTAATTAAACAAGAATTTAATTAAACCAGAATTTAATCAAATCAGAATTTAGTTAAACAAGAATTTAATTAAACAAGAATTTAATTAAACCAGAATTTAATTAAACCAGAATTTAATTAAATCAGAATTTAATTAAACAAGAATTTAATTAAACCAGAATTTAATTAAACCAGAATTTAATTAAACCAGAATTTAATCAAATCAGAATTTAATTAAACAAGAATTTAATTAAACAAGAATTTAATTAAACCAGAATTTAATTAAATCAGAATTAAAAACTGATAAATAAAAATCAGAATTATTAAAGATCAAAACCAGAATTATTTAAATAGTTCAATCAGAATTATATTAGAATTATATGTATTAAAATCAGAATAAATTATAAAATAAATATCAGAATTAAATAAAAATAAAACCTACGTAATTAATTTAATGAAAATTAATTTAATTTAAAATAATTTTTAAATCTTTTTTTAACTCTTTTTTATAATTTTTATTTTATCTATCAAAACCTGATTTTTTCAAATTAAAAATTATAGTAAAAAATCGTGACCTCTTTATTAAATTAAATTTAATTCAAAAAATTTTTTATTTTAAGATAATAAAAAAATATTTTTATGAAAATTAAATATAGGTGAATTTGATGGATTACCCAAATTAAATTAAATGAACTTTTAATTAATTTATTTTTAGGTTAATTTTTTAAGTCAAAAAAAATTTCTTTTATTTTTTAAAAAATTAATTTTATTTTAAAAATTAATTTATTAATTTTTATAAGGTTAGAAAATTAAAAAAAATTTTTTGGAATTCATTTCAATATTCGATCAGAACTTCCTGAATACCTACCCAAAAATTCTCAAATGCTGAGATCTTTAAGCAATATACTAACAAATGATTCGTAATAAATATAAAAAATATTTTCAAAAAACTTAATTTTAAAATCCAAATAAAAAATAGCCACTACATAAACCTACTAAAATTTATTTATTTTTAAATAATATTAAATGGATAAAAATCAGAACATTAATCGGTTTATTGGAAATTGCCGATTTTATTGTACTCGTAGCAAGCTTATTTTTAACTCGTATTTATTAACACTCCTGATTTTTTTCACAAACTCGTACCAAGTACGAGGGATGAATTTTGGGGCTGGCGTCGAAGCTGTGTTATAAACTAAGGTTGTCGGATATTGGAAATCTTCGGATATCCCGATACGAAAAAATTTGGATATCGGGATCCGGAATTTTGGATATTCGGATCCGGATCCGACAACCTTATTATAGACTGAAAAAAAATTTTTTTTAATCCCTAAATAAATCGAGAGTCACTTTGAAGTCACTCATGTCATCAAAAAAAATTTTTTAAATTTTATTCCTCAACTTCCTCCACATCATTAAAAATTATTTTTTCGTCCTCATTATTATTATCATTGTTATTATTTCTTTTACTTCTTTTTCTCATCAATTTTCCTTCTTTTGTAATATTTATTGTTGGAATTATTAAATTACTTCCTCGACGTTTATTTATTGCTAAAGATTCTTTACGGGCTCGATTAATTAATGCTGAGGAGGAAGAATGTGTGAAATTTAGATTTTGATGGATTGATGATTTTTTAATGTTGTTGTTGTTTATTGAATCGGGGGAAAATCCTTTGGGATAAATTGTTACCAAAAATTAATTATTTATCAAATTAGCAGTTTATCAGTTTATAATCCCTCCAAAATTACTCAAAAAATCCCCATTTAATAAACAAAGTCAAGAAACCCCTATAACCATTTTAAACATGAATCACGTCACTAGGATAACGTCTCGAGCTTTTTTGTGCTCGAGTTAATTTCTACTTATTCATTTTATCACTTTGTAATAAAGCCCATTCTCCCAAGGGAACTGAATATTAGTTTATTCTATAGTTGATCAGCTCAGGTGAAGCGTGTCGTTATTTATATGCTAACTGAAGAAATGGGCAGTGACGGTATAATGGGAGTTGTAAAAAAATTAGTTACTTAGTAAGGAAAGGGGGAGATCCAGCTTACTAGGGTGGGGAGGGAGTTTAATAAAGAGGTGAAGGGAGGGAGGGAGTTAATAAAGAGGTAATAAAGAGGTGAATAATATGTAATGTGATTTAAAAAGGTGAAGTATTAAAAGATAAGGTGAAAACAGCCCCCCAGTATAGCTCATTTGGTAGAGCACCTATACGTGTTCAGCGAAGCGCCTAACAATAAATGCCGGGAGATCACAGGAACATTATCTCTCTCTCATTTTACCACAAAAACTAGTTATCTCCCTCACTACCATAAAAATTATTTTAAGAATCAAATTCTACCAACCAGCAGCTATAGCAACAGCTGGGGATAAATCACCAGTTAAGGTCCCTAGAAGAGCTGCTGTTGTTTTACTTCCAAATTTTTCTGAATTATTATTCTTCCAGGCTGATAAAAACCGGTTTTGTTGTTGCCTTTCTTTAGCCTTTATTTCTGACATTTGGAGAACTTTTAAGCGTCTTTTGGGTAGTTTAGAACGAGCTTTACTGTGTGAATAAATATTTTGAAAGTTGGCAACGATTACTGGAACTGAAAAAAGATTTTTTGAAAAAGTTTGAGATGAATATGGAAAGGATGTGTTTGTTATCTTCTATATCTTTTCTGTTATAACAAAGCTGAACTGGAATAGCTACACCTTTTCTAGTGTAAGAGAGAAAGATTCATCTGGCTAGCGTTTAGAACGCTCACTAGGCGGGGGTTTAAGATCTATAAAAATAGAAGGTGAAAGCAGTGTCCCGGTAGCTCAGTTGTTAGAGCACCAGTTGTACGTGGTGAGCGGAAGCACCTAGCAATAACTGCCAGGAGGTCGTAGGATCGAAGTCTGCCCGGGATTAAACTTTAACTCGCTCTAGTTAGTCGGCTTGGCGCGACTCAGCATCTTCAATTGACCGGACTAAGGTGGTTAACCGGACCGATGCATATATCTGTATGATTCCTATAGCCTTAGGAATAAAATAGCTATATGCTTTGCATCATATCTATTCATGTTAAAGTTCTCATTAAACTTGCCAGGTAATGCAATAGTTAATACACCCATTAAAGCACATAACGAGCCAACAACCATACCCAACCTTTAAAATTCTTTATTTGAATAATTTTACTGTTGAATTCACCTAGTTTTTGGGACAGAATCGCCATAACCGATGGTACTTATAGTAATCAATGCCCACCACATACCTACAGTAATAGACTCGAATTGATTTTCTGGATTGTATTCTAATCGTTCTGCGTAATAACTGAGAGAATTTTAAAAAATTTTAAAATTCAAAATTTAATTTTTGTTACATTAATGAGGCGAACAAAATCATTCCAAGAACGACAAAAAAGAAGAGCAAAATTAATTCCTGAAGGGAAAAACATATATAATTTTAAAGCTTATGTTCTGTACTTGAAAAAATTATCACCACCTATAAGGAAGAAGTGAGACTTGGTGGAGCACCCCGTAGTGAGTGAAAGCTCCTGGCATTAACTGCTAAAATTTACTTCTCCCTTACTTATGTACATATTTGTAAAAATATGATAACATAAAATCAACCCTGAGGTTCTTCCTTGGAATTGAAAATAAAGTGAAGGCTAATTCTCTCTGAAGTCACATCATTCTCCTAATATTCTTTTATATTCTTGGGAATGGCTTATTTAATAGGCTTGAAAAGCAAAATTATTTTTCCAAACCCTCGCCGAAGCTTTGAATGTCTGTATAAGAATTTTCAATCCCGAAGAGTGTTGTGCCAATTTAAAAAGCCTCAAAACCCTCATAATATTCAAACATTCCAAAGAATCATTATTATTTAAAAAATTGTTTGTTAAAATCCAGTCAATATAAAACGAAGTTGTTGCAAATAAATCTATCAGATTCAAAGGGTTTTTAATAAATTTGGAACGGCTAGGGGCGAAAAGAAGCCTGGCAATAAATTCGAAGGTAAACCATAAATTACAGGCTAATTCTAAATAGAAGAATTGAATAATGAAGGAAGTTGTTGCTGTTGTTGGTGGACTTTAAAATTAAAAAAAATTTTTTAATAATAAAATTAATAATAAAATCCCAAAATTTCCTTTACTAACTAAATACTATGGTTGCACACCGAAATTTTTGCACACCGAAAAACGCTCGGGGGCGAGTATGTCGGGGTACGGGGTTTTCGAATTGTTTCGGGGCGGGGTCGTATTCTTGTTACCGCTGACTCTTTTAGCCTTTAAAGGAATAAACGGTGAGCCTCTCACCTTCTTGTCAAATTAATATTTTGCCGCCTCATACTTTTAATCAAAACACTATTATTATTAAAATAAACATATTCTGAAGCAGGAAAATTTCCAACTTGACGCATTCCAGAATTAGTTTTTAAACAAAAACATAAAATAGATAGAACAATACAGGAAATTGAAATTATTGAAATTATCTGGAAATAACAAGACATGTTTTGTTCCTGTTAGAAATTCCCTACCCTCGCCCCACGCGATGTCCACGGCTCTTCAAAAAGCGACCACAATTTTGGCTTAACTTTTTGCCACAAATTTAATTTTCCATTATTATATTCATCCTCCCAGCCAAATTTTTTGGCTACATCTTCTTGTGTTGGGCGAATATCTGTGTCCATTTCCATACTTTCTATCAAGGCTAAAGTTTCTTGGGTTTCTCTTTAAAAATTTTTTCGAATTAAAAACAGAATTTTTCTGCCTGTATTTTGTATAAGTCATCCAACAACAAGGCTCAACTTGGTTTGAATCCAGCCCCCAAAATTCGAGTTCTTCCTCAAAAAGAGGACCACAAACGTCTGCTGGATAGTGCAGCTTTCCTTTTTGGATTGGAAAATTTTCAAAAATTTTTTCAATTCAAACCTACCAGTTCTATAATAATTTAGAATCAAAGAAAAAGCTCCTGGATGTCTATCAAAAAAATATTCGTTCTTCACAGGGTCATAATTTGACAAATTTGGAGTTAATCTGGATAATCGAGTTGCTGGGATTTTTTTCAAAACCTTTTTTATAAATTTTTAAAAATTAATAAATTAAATTATCAACTAAACATGACTATAAGTTTCGTATCTAATACCCCCAACATTTAAAATTATTCGATTTTCGACTCCAGAGAGACAAGAAGGCGAGGTAACATTAATTGCAGAATTGTCTATTGGCTGGAAAAATTAATTTTTAAATTTATTTTTTTAATTTTTTAATTTACCGCAGTTAAAAACTGAACGGTAGGAGGTATATTACAGCTTGTAGATGATGGAATTAAGGTTGAAGGTCTTTGCATAATATTTTATTAATACATATAAATTCTATTAGAATCCGAAAAATATTAACCAAAATATTAACCGGAAAGATTTAGACAGAAATACGTTAAGAGTAATACGAATTAATTACAACAGGAAAGTTTGTATAAACCGGAAACAATTAATAAAAAATAAACTATTAACAGGAAACAATGTTAAACCGGAAACAATACTATCCGGAAACAATATAGTATTAAAAACCGGAAAATATACCCGGAAAATATAAACCGGAAACAATTAATAAAAAATAAACTATTAACAGGAAACAATGTTAAACCGGAAACAATACTATCCGGAAACAATATAGTATTAAAAACCGGAAAATATACCCGGAAAATATAAACCGGAAACAATTAATAAAAAATAAACTATTAACAGGAAACAATGTTAAACCGGAAACAATACTATCCGGAAACAATATAGTATTAAAAACCGGAAAATATACCCGGAAAATATAAACCGGAAACAATTAATAAAAAATAAACTATTAACAGGAAACAATGTTAAACCGGAAACAATACTATCCGGAAACAATATAGTATTAAAAACCGGAAAATATACCCGGAAAATATAAACCGGAAACAATTAATAAAAAATAAACTATTAACAGGAAACAATGTTAAACCGGAAACAATACTATCCGGAAACAATATAGTATTAAAAACCGGAAAATATACCCGGAAAATATAAACCGGAAACAATTAATAAAAAATAAACTATTAACAGGAAACAATGTTAAACCGGAAACAATACTATCCGGAAACAATATAGTATTAAAAACCGGAAAATATACCCGGAAAATATAAACCGGAAACAATTAATAAAAAATAAACTATTAACAGGAAACAATGTTAAACCGGAAACAATACTATCCGGAAACAATATAGTATTAAAAACCGGAAAATATACCCGGAAAATATAAACCGGAAACAATTAATAAAAAATAAACTATTAACAGGAAACAATGTTAAACCGGAAACAATACTATCCGGAAACAATATAGTATTAAAAACCGGAAAATATACCCGGAAAATATAAACCGGAAACAATTAATAAAAAATAAACTATTAACAGGAAACAATGTTAAACCGGAAACAATACTATCCGGAAACAATATAGTATTAAAAACCGGAAAATATAAACCGGAAACGATTAATAAGAACTATCAACCGAAAAATATTAACCGTAAATAAGACTAATTATAAAGAATAACTTGTTCCGGAAATTATTAAAAATATAAATTAATTATATTTTTATATCTAATTATATTTATATACCTAATTATAGTTTTATACCTAAAATTTTCCGGATCGTATGTACTTCAATAAAGCAAAAATTTAATGCTAGGTTTATGCTAACACTAACAAATAAAAAGCATCTTTATTGCTTTTATATTTATGTATTTACTAATTTAATTTATAACTGCTTATTTTTAAATAATTTATTGCTGTATTATCTCAACATTCTTAAAGAATTTATTATTTTATTTTTGAAATGTTATTTTTAAGTATAGCATAGAAACAGAAAAAAATTAAAAATACTCGCAATAGGAATTATTCTGTTTTTTTAATTTTAAAAATTAAAGAATCAAGTAAAATGGCAGTAAACACCCAAAAATGATTAAACATTTTTCAATACTTTAAATGTTAAGCCAAAATAAAATAAGGGTTAAATTAGTATTTTTTATTGGGAACGGAAATTTTTTTTTTGATTTTTTCTATGTAAATTTGAAAATTAATAAAGAAGGAAGAAGGCATATTTAGCTATTAAATTGAGTATTTTATTATTGAATTCAAATGAGAAAATTACTGGGCTTCTATTAAGCCACTTCTTTGTTTTTATTGCTTGATTATCTTGTAAAAGCTAACTATTGAAATTAGTTCTCCCTTTAGGGAATGAAAATAAGGAAGAAGTGGAATTGGAAAATTGTGCAATTAAATGAAAAAAAAAGAATAAAAGTAGGCTTTACTTTAGAACATACGTCCCATGATCATTTATGCGTTCTATGAACAGGGTTTTCAAGAATCTCTTAGTTTAAACTAGAAATAGGAATTTCGTGCTGTATCGCATTTCAGAATTTTATTTTATTTAAAAATATATGAAAAATTAAGTAACAATTTTTGAGCACTTTTACAATTTTGAATATCAAAATTTTAATAAAATTAAAATTTATAAGGCAATATTATTGTGCCAAACCAAGTTGTTTCATTAATTATTCCTTAATTGATCTTCCAATAAAAGTCCTTGCTCCACTCCTTACAGTGAAGTCCGCCAGAAATAGAATAGTTGGCCCACATCTCGCGATATTTGCTTTCAACAAAGTCAAATGAACGACGAGTGGAACATGAGCGTTCACACTGAAAATATTTTTGATTGAATTAAAATTTTAACTAGTTCATAAATATAAGGCCTTATTACATGTATGGCTTCAATCTAGGCACATATTCACCTGTATATAATTTCGATAGTATCCCCAGAGAGCACTATTTCCTGTGTCAGCATCGATAATCTCATAAGTTCGTTTGAATGTCTTTTCACAGTAATTACATTTAAAATCAATCTCAACACATTCATGAGTATGATCATGGAAACCACCGACGACTGCAGCACCAACAAGTTCGGAAAGTCCTGGAATGAAAATTGGATAAGACAATAAATTACTATTTAGCTAAAATTCATTTATTCAAAATTATTAAATTTATTATTATCACTTTTCAATCCTCACTTTCTATTTCATTGGCAATTAAATTATCCAGAATTAATACTTATAAAGGGAGTCGAGGAGCAAAGAAAATGGGATTATATTTTTTTAACCCTTTATTGGCATGGGAAGGGTTGGGAATTAATTCCCTCAAGGGAGGGGAATTATTCGAGTTTTGGCATTTGAACTTGCATTAGGGTATTTGGGAGTGGGGAATTATTGTTTCAACCCAACTCTAGGAATTAATCGGGAGGGGGAATTATTCGAGGGAGGGGAATTAATCGAGAAAATACGGTAATTTTCTTTCATGAACGTACCCAAAGTTAGAATTCCACCAAACCAACGAGCAGTTTTTATTCCCGTCTTGTCACTTTCCGACATCATTGGCACTTCGATCCATCGAATTTTTGTGGTGTAAAAGTTGCTAGTTCCGCAATCGCAAATGTTGACGTCAAGCCATCTAGCGTAAACATCTGGAGCCCAATAATAGCCTCTCCCCATTAGTTATTTAATTAATTTTTAGAAAATTTTTTTGAGTTTTCTAGCAAGAGATTACAAAATTTAGAAGGTTAAATGAACCTGTGCTCTTAGAATTATTATTAGAGCTCGACCCCAGGCCCGAGACAGGGTTTTCCAGGCCCGGTAGCCCGGAAACCGAGTATTTTGATAAAATCCGGTTTTTCCTGGCTTCCGGGTTTCCGAGGGCTTCCGGTCTTCCGCCTTCTCTTTATCGACACAAATGCTCCGATATCTCTCCTAATCCACCTTAATCTTGTAAATCCACTGAGATCTATACTGATTTCCGGCACTACAAGTGAAAATTTGAAAAAAAAATTTATTAAGGGAAAATTTTGGCATTAAGGGGGGGCCATTCTATTAGAAGCGGGCCATTCAAATGGAGACGGCCATTCTATTTTTCAATCATCCTCCAGGGGGCCATTCTATTAGAAGGGGCCATTCAAATGGAGACGGCTTCTATTAGAGATAATACGGTATATTTTATGTCTCCATCAATATACCTAATTGAGAAATTTTTTATTGGAACTAGTGATCATCTTATAAAATGACTTTTGACTTTTTCCATTTTTTGCTTTGCTGTGAAAAATTTAAATGTTTGTGGGGGGCCCATAATAGAAATAATGGCATTCTATTCTAAAAACCAGTGTCCGGAAAACTCATTTTGCGGGCCCAAAAACCGTTTTAATCTCTCTCGCTTATGCCGGATCCGCGGATTTTTCTGGATTAGTTCGGTCGGAAAAAATCTGGAGATCACGAAAAAAGCCTAGCCGGACAATACTAAAAACTACATAAAAATGTAAAAAATCCTCATAATCTTCAGAAGAATATAAAAATGCGCAAATCAGCATTTTTAAAGAGGTAATCCTTAAGATCATTGGTCCCTAGGAAAAAATGCTAAAAAGTGCTCTTTCGATATTTTTAAGGCTTGCCAGTAGGTAATCGACTCTGCTGAGTCTGAATCTGAGCTTAGAATTTGTTTGTTTATTTCAAACCCTGAACCCGAATTCGACCAAGTCGAATTCGGGGTAGGAATTCGAAACTATTAGCTAGTGCTATTCTGACGCGTTCTTCAAGCTGAGTCGAATGATATCAAAATTAATGTGTTTCGACAACATTAGACTGAGTTATGATCAATTAAATACACGATTGGTTAGACTTCTGTAAACATAAATTTTGAATTTTTGCCCCATATTTGACTTGGTCGAATTCGGATTCAGGGTTCGAAATAAACAAATTCTAAGCTTAGATTCAGACTCAGCGCAGCCGATTACCTACTGGCAAGCCTTAAAAATATCGAAAGAGCACTTTTTTAGCATTTTTTCCTAGGGAACAATGATCTTAAGGATTACCTTTAAGATTATCTTCAACAACCTATCAAAAAACCACAAAATGAAGAAAACCCTGGTTAAGACACTTTAAAAATGTTCTAAAAAAATTTCCCATAACAATTTATTCTTCCAAGATTAACAAATTAAATAATAAAGAAAGTTTTGAAAAAATTTTTTTTCCAAATAATTTTTCATCATTTAAAGAAGAATATCCCAATTTTGTTTTGTATTTAAAGAAAAGTTGAAGATATTTTACCAAAATTCCAAATCCCCATATTCTGCCACATTTTTTAATTTTTTGCTTAAAATTATAAATAGTTAATTTTTATGAAATAATTGAAGATTTGCGTATACTTCAACTTTAATCAGTTAAATTTTATATACTACTAACGGAGGATGACTTGGAGAAACTCGACCTCTGTTACACAAAGAA